AATTTGGTTATAGATCTTCACACAAACAGGGCCTATCCTACATATAGCCTCTCATGTGGACAAAATCATCATCTCAACACGATGCTCTAAGATGGCAGTGTGAAAGATCACTACTTTGCATCCTGACTACAGATTCCTAAAACAGCAAGAGTTGCTTCTGAGACATGTAAACAAAAAGCAAAACTCAAATTGCAACTCAAATCTCTCCACTTCTTATCCAACTCTAGACAGAGCTCCCTCATCTGCGGGGACTTTAGTAACTGCTGCAGGCTAAGCCCAGAGCAGCGCCAGTGTCTTGGATGTCTTGAAAACCAAAGCTGAGGGTGTTGGCTGCACAGTAACTATTGAAACCTTCCCAGCATGCTCTTCTGTCCTGCTGTCATTTACCTGTGATTCCCAAGAGTAAAGTGCTGCAGACCAAAGCCAAGATTCCCCCTCTTAAATCCCAGATTATGTGTGCTACTTTTTCCGTGTCCGCTTCCTCTGTATTCCCGCCCTGTAGTACACAGCTGTTTAATGTTCAAAGGAACCATCTCCAGAGCGCCATCTGGCAGCCTTGCCTACAGCAGCCAAGGTTGCCTCTTGTTTCAGATACTGCTGGTCCTTTTGGAGATTTACATTGTGTTTGTCGTCAACTCTTAATTTTGAAAAGGGGGAATCTGGGAGTGGAACCTGATTCTCACTACCTTTCCTGTCACAGGAAGTGACATCCTCTGACATACAGCCACTTAAGAGCTACAGCATTTCACCAGGCAGTGGTGGTACACACCTCTAATCCAAGCACTTGGAAGGTAGAGGCAGGTAAATCTCTTGAGTTCAAGGCCAGCCTTGCCTACGGAGTGAGTTCCAAGACAGCTAGGGTTACAAAAATCTTTATAATCTTATGAAAAGTCTATAGGTCTGAGGACAATTAGGTCGTAAAAATGCCATACTAAAAAGTCAGTTCATTTCATTTTTAATATTCTGTCCATTGTCTACATTTTAACTGTAAGAATGTCCTGCTCTGCACAGTTCAGCATCCTCATTGTTATAATGTCTTCAGACTGACTTCTCTTCATATATCCTATTACTGAGCCATAACACCAAAGTCACTGTTACGGGCATATGGGCATTCAGTTCTTAGCCATCTAGTTCTGACGTACCTCAAAGACAGTGAACTTACCAGTGACCACAATGCACACTCAGACACGAGTCTCGATCTTAGCTCCCAGTTACCTTCATAGGGCTAGGTTTCCCACAGAGAAGCCAAATTACACAAGAATACATCCTTACATTTTGGTTTGCATCCCAGCTTCTAATCTCTGTGTTAGGTGCTGCAGGGTAACCATGGTATAATAACAAAATTGAGTCACACATTTTTGTTCATTAGTCCCGACTGAATACTTAAGTTTCTCTTTGCTGTTTAAATTGTTGATTATTTCTGTCTTTGCTGTTCTAGAGCCATTGAAAAATATTCCACCTATCATGCATGTGGCTTATTTACCTTTAAATTACTCCAACCCCACCCAAACTCTATTGGCTCCAAAGTATGGACATTTTAATGATCTTGATACATTATGAACTATCGCTGTCTAAAGAGCGTATCAATTTACCCTGCTTCCCAAAATACAGGGCCGCATCTCTCTCGAGCCTTTCCCAAACATATCCTAATTCCATAACTGCAGAATGCACCCTTCACATGTAAAGCCTATGCCACCAATCACTTTGGAACACTCATTCCGATCTGATTACTTGATGTGGCAGCAAGGCAGATCAAGGCTGCCTGGACTCAAAGCTTCCGTGACCACGTGGCAGCCCTACAATCCTCAGGCAGTTAGATAATCACTATACTCAACACTCCGGCTCCTCGCTTGTATTCGAACACCTTCCTTACAGGATTTTTCTGAGGGCAGTTGTGATGCCCACGTCTTAGGGTTACTATTGCTGCGATGAAACACAGTTTTTAAATGTTTACTGATTTATAATTGTGTGTGTGTTTGTGTATGAGTGTGCGTGTGCCAAAGCATGTACGTGGCAGTCAGAGGATACCTTGTGGCAGCCAGTCTCTCTCCCTGCCACATGGGTTCTGGGGATTGAAGTCAGGTCAGCAGACTTGGTGGCTAGTGCCGTTGCTGAGCTGTCTTACCAACCCTAACAATTTTTTTTAAGACTGTCATAGTAACATTGGCTTATGCAGAAAACTCACGTTCTTAAATTTGTGTCCTTCATCACTGGTCAATGCTAGATGACGTATCGCTATCGCTGTTGTCTTCAGTTGATTATGTGGCTGGATCTGGTCCCTAAGAATGTTGCTCAACAAGGCTCATGGAAAGTTACTTCTCTCCTTCTGCTAGTAAGAAATTTCTCCTAGCCAGCCAGGCATTAAATTTCCTCTAATGATGATTCGTCTCAGTTGTCCTTCACACTCCTATTCTCATTCTCTTGAACTCTACATCTATGATGGGAAAGGCTTTTGCCCCATCCTCCACTGGATTCATTATCTGCACTCGGGCTTCTATTTGGCTCAGCGACAGACTTCACTTTGATTAATTCACTGGTTGAGTGTTACTGAAGTCCCTAATGGTGGCGGAGATTGAGGAACTTTCTTGGTTCTCTCATATTTGGGAGGATTGTGACATCCCCTGACGGCAGCACACTGCTGTCTTCGTTATCTTTAAACGTCGAGGATTTGCCTGTCCCTCCCTCATCATTGTTGCTGGAGATAAGCCATCTGGGGTTGCTGGTCCCGTGGAGGTAGTCCAGCTATGCTGACCATGGGACATTTGGGAACATACTGCCCAATGTGAGGTAGTCTAGTAACTTATCTCTGCGTCACGGTTCTTGATTCCACAGGAGATCAGTAGCTATGCAAGGTATGGAGAATCTTCTCCGGCCCAACTGCTGTTTCTGTCTACAGCACAGCCGGGGTGGGGGACAAGTTCAAATTCACACCAACATTCCCTAAGTATGTTTGCCAAGATCATCTCTGAGAATGTGTGTGTGGGAGGGGGGCTGAGCTATGTGCACTTGGCCTACAGTTAGTTCTCCACTTCTTCAAAGCCATGATTTCCTCTGGCCAAACACGCCAGCTTTCTCTTAGACCTAGATATTCTCAAAAGCACATGCCAGTTCTCGAGGCTCTGATATCGTATGCCATCTTCATTGCTTTCCTTTACATTATTATTGAAATCTGGGGAGAAGGCAGAGATTTGTTCATCCATAATCTCCTTCCTCAACTGGAACCTTTTTTCCTTCCCTTCTAAAATAGAGTCTCCTATGTAGCCCAGGTCATCCTTGAACTTGTGATCTTGAGTGATGAGATTGCAGATGACTGTCCCCACAATCAGTGTGTAAGCACTTATTTCAGCTCTGTTCGGAGGTCAGTCTTTGACCCCCTAAATCTGTCTGAACTGCTGGAGCAGTTGGAGAGCCCCCAGTGGGGTTTGTGAACAAATCCTCGTTACTCCCACAAGTCTCGGGAGCAAAATACAAGGAAAATGCTGTGGCATTCACAGTCCCCTGGCCTGAAGCATCTGAGTCAGACCCAGAAGAATTAAACCGCAGGCAGGCGTAAAAAGCAGCAACCTAGACACTTTAGCTAAAAATATTATACCTATGATGTTACATAAGCACCTAAAGTGATAAGGCAGACAAATTTGTTTCTTTGCTTTCCTTTTTGATAAGATATATAGAATATATGATGAGAAAAAGAAAACAAAGTTAGACTTAAAAAAGTCTATAGACTGCCATAGAGCATCTGCCACAAAACCAGAATAATAGACAAGGCCCACACACTTCCATTGGTGTATGTATGCATACACATATAGAAACCATTCAAAGCCCACCTTCGTGTGTAGCACACGTGTACACATTAAACATGTGGATTTAACACCAGGGGACTACTTTCACTGTCTGGTGTTTTGAGAAACATAGAGGTAAACCATTTACACACATTCCCATTTTAGTAGGCACTTAGCAGTATTTTTAATTACAAGAAAGTTTAACAATCCAAAACTATTGATAAAGTACTAGTAATGATAAAATAACTATTAATAAGGGAGCACTGGGTAATTTATTATCCATTCATTGGCTGCTTTCTGTGAACGTTCTTCTTTGTTAATGGTGCCAGGGATCAAAGCCAGGGCCTGGCTCATGCTAATTTTCAAACAGAGACTAAGTTGCCCACACTGGCCTAAACTCAAAATCTTCCTGCTTCAGCCTCCAGAGCAGCTGAGTTATAGACCTGTGCCAACAGATTCTGGGGATGTTTGTGCCCAGATTAACTGTGGGTCTGAGTGGGGTCTTCTGAGTCTTTCCTGCACAGGTGCAGCCAACCCCGAAGGTGTGGTTTACAGGCATGGGGATGTGAACCTGTAATTCCAGCAGCTGGAGTCTGGGCCAGGAGAGTGGCAGATCTGACATCTGCCTGGGCCACGGTGAAATCTTATCTGTAAACAAAACCAAAGCAGTATGGGGGGTGGGGGGAATCTTAAGGACGTGGGGACAACAATGACCAAGCATGTACAAGGAGTCTTGATGGGCAAGAATGTAGACAGAATTTTATCTTTAAAATTTTAAATTCATTAGTGACATTTTTTTTTTGCGTATTTAAAAAGAATTATCTTTATCCTATAGGGACTTTTTTTTTTAAGGTTAAAAAACAATAGACAAAGGCTGTTGGACCTGAACCCTCAAGACATCACATTCTTTGTTTATAAAGTGTTTTAAAACCACAACTTGCTGGAGGCGGTGGCAGACGCCTTTAATCCCAACACTCAGTAGACTGAGGCAATTGGATCTTTGTGAGTGCTAGGCCAATGTGGTCTACACAGTGAGCTCCAAGACAGCCAGAGCTATGTAGAGACACCCTGTCTCAAACAACACTACCCCCACCCCAACCAAAAAAACCTACAACTTAAGCCTCATGCCACAAAACAGGAAACCAAACATGTATGTTCATATATATATATCTTGGTCCCTGTATTGATTTTTTACATTACTTTACAATTTAAGGGAAAAAGTATTATGAATTTAGCTTTTATTCAAAATTAAATAAGCAAAAGCAAAAATTTTAAGAAACTTGTACAAATTACTTACATAAAAGAAAGATAATAGAGACAGTCACAAATCTGCAACAAATAACTACCAAAGGGTAGGTAGGGCAGCATGGATATAACCATGTCACAGCACGGTACTCTAACTGGGATATGAATAAGGCATAACTAACATTGGCACCGAGACCAGAGGAAAAACAAAACAAACCTTACAAGCTTAGTTCTACGTTAAGCTCCTCCTCCCCCAGATCCTCGACGGATTTATACGCTATCTAATTCCTTAAATACAAGTTATCACGTCAAACTCTAAATGACAGAGGCGGGCAGTTAATGTGAAAAGCCCCCTAGAATGTACAAGCTAACTGGGTGAACCGAGTTCTCCATCTACCTTTATGTACATTGTAATGTAAACCATATTTTCACAGTTTTAAGTGTTTTATGAATGGATGCACAGTACCATGTCAGGTCTGCAGCTGTTCCTGGAGACTGGCTCTAGACAGCATCCCTGCCTGCCGGCCGCGGCCGCGGGGATACAAGGATTTACATAAATAGGAAACTGTGTCTGAGTCAATGGCCAAGACAGTTCAGCAAGAGCAGGTTTTCCAACAACAAAGAATGATACTCTGTACCATTGTTGATATACTTGTGCAAATAGAAGCATCAGGACAAAGAAATCTGAGGCAAATTCGATCTGCGAAAACGCCTAGGACTACCGCTGTAAACGTGGGCAATAGAGGACCCTCAGCAAGTTCACTCTCTATGGCTTTTTTTTTGTCTTTTAAAATTTAAAGCCAGAGTAAAAGCACACACACTACCCATACAAACACACATATGCACACACACTTGCATTCACACAGGCACACGCACACAGGCACGCAGCATCCACACAGAGTACTTAGTTCAATTAGAGTAGGGTACATAGTGCAACTTCATCACAACGTAGAGGTTTAACACACATTTAGTGTGTGTTTTCTGTGCAAGTTCTTAGTGGTCTAGGACCCAGTGGAAGGTATTCATTTGCAGATCCACGAGATTCAGGAGGTTGGAGAAAAAAAAGAGTTTCCTTAATTTCTACACCAGCACTGGGTGTGCAAAGGCAGCGGACAATCTGGCCATCGACGGAGCCAGATTAGGGTGACGTTAAAATGAGACCCAACCGCTCTCAGCCTTGGGGCTAAGGGCAAGCTAAGGAAGATCCAAGCAGTTCGTTACTTAGATTGGTCTCTAGAGAAGTAAGTCAGGATATGCTGTATCTTTGTTAGCCGCTCTTCCAGAGACTTCATTGACAGTACGGAGAGCTGATACCGAGGGTCTACAGGAAGGACTGCCAGCAGCCACCAACACCACGCAGGCCCATTGGGGGTCGCCTAAAACCAAAAATAGTTCAGAGTGTTAAGAAAATATAATAGTAAACACTACAAAGTAACCATGCTAGGTGCTACCAAGTCTCTTCATCATATAAAGCAGGGGATTATGAAGCCCACAGACACTGAGGAACTGAAGCTGGGAACTGTGATGTAATCAATCACCCATGGTCTCTCAGCTCCCATGCTACGGAGTTAGGATTTTACTCCAGTCCTGACTGCAGCCCTTTGGCAGGTGCCTGTGACTTCCACCTACTATAGACATCAACAGCAGCTCTCCATCCAACAGTCAAATGTCCCCAGTCCTGCCAAGTGCCTCACGGGGCCAAACCTTGGTATTTAAAGCACTGCAGGAAGTTAATTGATACTTGAAATTTTTATTCAAAAATTAGAATCCTGAAAAAGAAGAAAAAAACTTGGCTTCCCAATTTGAAAGATTAACATGTCTCTGGCAAGGCAGTTCCTGTACATTTCAGGAGCAAGAGGATTTGAGAGCCTGCCTATTGCTCACTGTGCTGGTGTTCACAAAGCACGAGACACCAACTTTCAGAACAACAAAGGAGCCGTGACAGTGCAGACAGGATGGCTCCATCATTGGCTGCTCTATGTCTATGTCCTTCTGTGTCCCAGACAACATTTCCCAGAACCCTATCCTCCACATCTCCAGGTTAGACTCAGCCAGGCCAATGGCACTCTTAGCACATGCCAAAACTGGAAAGAGAGGTCATTATTCTCTAGAAACACTTCCAAAGTGTGTGTGTAGGGGCGGCATTCCAGAGGATTCTAGGAAACCACCCACTTGACTGATGCTGACGGACAAATGGGCACTCCCTGGGGTCCTCAAACTGTAGCACTTTCCTCACAAGTTTGTGTGAAGCCCGGTGTTCTGCCATTCCAGATGCATCATTGTGGCATGCTGTTTGACCTCTGGAGTGGTTCCCACTGACCTCTCCTCCAGTGGCTGTATTAACTGTCCATCATACAGCGCTCTCGTTCCTGGACTCCACTCAGTGGCGGCCTTGTTTCCCTGACTCCTAAGGTATCATTAATGGAAACCAGTGGCAGAAGTGAGGGCAATGGGGAAATACCTTCTAAAGAGTTTAAATGTACTTTCTACTTTGTCTTATGAAAGCCATTTCTATACTGTTTGGCCAGATTCAACACCAAAATGGGCAAAGCCATGGCATAACACTAAACACAGCATGGGTCCTGTCCTCAGAGGAAGAGAGAATCACTGGTATTTGACAGGCTCAGACTAACCTTTGAAGGATGGAAGGAGAGATGGTGCCTCACAAGGGGATCTATGATTGCTTGATCTTTGGATGTTTATACATCTATTCTACTATGGCAATATTATCTTCTAACCATAATATGCTGATTCAATTCAAAATGCTGTGCCTAACCTTGGTTCCTCGTGGGTCTTGGATTCCCCAAGGCAGGGAACTCCTCATGGTGTCTGCAATTGCTCCTACAGAGCTCCGTGCATGGAGGGTACCTGAATCACATTACTAGTTAGGTTCAGCTTTACATCAACCCCAGTACTTGAGTGGACCCTAAGAACGATAGTTATGGTAACAGAAATGTCAAACACAGACAGACAAGAGGGACTTGAAGCGGTGCATAGGACATAGGGATAAAAGGAGAGGTGAGCAGTTTCTAAAAGATGGAAAACCATACATTTCTCAAAGGTCAAGGTGGCAGTTGATGGCTTGGAAGTACAGTGGCCTCACAGCCACAGTTTAATGGTGGCCAGTGTTCCATCTGAAAGCCCTCACCCCTCTGGAAATCCTTACACAAGCCCTTCCTCCCCCTGAGACCCTCTTTCCTTGTGGCCAGTAGGTATCAGTGCTCTAGAGAATGTACTTGTAATTTGAAAGATGGGATCAAAGAAAATAACAAGGAAACGTGTAAAGTTATTGGGTTTATGAAAAAGTGAGACCGTCGGTAGCAACATCTTACCTGGAGGTTTTCCTCCCTCTCAGGCATTGATCCAAAGTGTTGAAGGATTTGGCTTCGAAATCTGTCTCTTAAATTCTGAAACCAGCTACAGGCTTGCGAGTACACCAAGTCATGAAGCTCTCTCAGACTCTGGATTTCATCTCCGTTCTCAATCTAGAAAGAATGGCTGGTAAGATCTCTGGGTCCAGTTTCCAGCCCTTATCATCAACCACACAGAACACAAAAAAGCACCGCTGAACGGAGGAATGTCCACACCAGCGCTGGACTGTCAGCATGACAGCCTCATGCAATAACAGCTGGTGTTTCCGCCCTACAGAGTCCTCTTGGGAGTCACCGGGAAGAGCATGGTCTGATCTCCACTGAGAGCAGGCAGCAGCCTGACCGACAGCCTGAGAAGAACCAAGTATGGTGGACAATGAGCTCTGGTTTGAAGGGGTGCACAGATTTGGAATAAAACAGTTACTTCAATAAGAAGAAAAATGGGTTGCCTAGGGTACAAACCACATGGAAGAAAGCAGTATTAAAAGGGCAGCCATAAACACTTCTTTTGAGAGAACTGGGTCAAAACACAGAAACAAAAAGCAGCAAAAATACTTGCCCCAAAATTGGCAAACCAAAAGGCAGAGAACAGAGTATACAATTTTCAGCTTCCACCATAAAAGCTGTAGCCCCTCCATGAACTCCTCTGTGAACCTTTGGAGCCCAGATGGTGACTGTGAGATGAAAGGCTTCTTCCAGCCAGGAGACACACAGAACACAGGTCAAGGAACTCATGCATTTTTATAGGCTCTACCGCGCTCCTGTCCCACTGGCTGTGTGCCTGGATGGGCTCTGTTATGGCACATTAATTCATCTGAACAAACAGCAAGCAAGTGCCTGCAAGATAGTTTGCTGGGTAAAGGGGCATGCTGCAGAAACTGACAACCTGGCTGGGGACCCACACGGTGAAAAGGAAAACGGACTTCTAAAAGTCATCCTCTAAACCTCACACAAGCACCATGGCACATGAGTGCCCCTGTCCCCACACCGAATGAATGAATGAATGAATGTAATATTTTCTAAAAAGCAGAATGACTCAGACTTTCATGTCTCAAAGGATGACAAACACAAGACAACCAAGGGACTCAGGGAGGTTTTGAAATACAAAAGACATAAGACATAAAAGGCCACTCATTTGACTTCCGAAGAAACTAAAACTTGAAACTCAGCATTAAAATCAGTCATGATTTGCATGACACGATATATCCATGAGCTGTGCTTAAAAATGTTAAAATGGTAGAAAGCTTTATGTCTGAGAGAAAAACAAAACCAGCCAAGAGGCAAACAGAAATTTCAAAAGCAAGTTTAAGGTTAAGGACATTGCTACAATTAAATGGAGCTTAAAATTTCATTAGACATTACAGAAAACAGAATTACTACCACAAAAAGAAAAGGTAAACAATAAAATTGAGATCTTCCAGAACAGAACAGACAAAAACAAAAGCAAAAAGCCAAAATATATGAAAGGGTAAAAAGAATCCCTAGACATTGTTTTGGCCAAAGACGAGCCCTGTCTCCAAAACATGGCAGCAGTTTCTAAACACACTTCCAATGCAATAGTCTCCTACATAGGAGCTTTCAGCCATATATATTCAGTTATACACGCAAGGGACTTTTTCATAAAATGTGACATATCATTATACAAATTGGCCTAAAATTAAAGTAGGCTCAAAAGTTTTACAAAGAACACAGTCTTTTACAAACAATTCCATCAATCAATTTTCAATGCATTCAATATTCTTCCCTGACAGTGCAAAGTATCCCCCATAACATCTATTTTTGTTTGTTTGAGACAGGGTCTACATAGCCCCATCTGTCCTGAAGCTCACGCTGTAGACCAGGCTGGCCTCAGACTCAGAGACCTGCCTGCCTCTGCCTCCTCCCGCATGACATCGTTCTGAGAGAGAACGGGCAACACCAGGCAAGTCAAGACTATCACCACAGAGGCCGTCAGCATGGTGCAAGGACAAGACACAGCACTTGGAGTCAGTCAGCTGTCAATCACTTTTGTTACACATCCTAGATCCCTGGCAAACAAAACGCTCTTACTTCCTCTCTCTGGCTGCTAACTGTGAGAACTCCATGGACTCTCTGTGAGGGTGCCTAAGTCCAACAGTCAAGAAATGTCGACTGAAATGAAGGCCGAAACAGATCAGTGAGTAGTGACAATGTAAGACCTATGTTTTATCCTGCCTTTCCCATAGAAACCGCTTCAACTTGATACAATTCCAGTTTGGTAAACTAGGTCCTGACAACATTGAGAGGCCATATCGACCCGGTAGAAAGATGTTGGTCACTACAATCTTCCTTAGGAAAGCTATCAGCAGCACATATACACTGGCAATGTCTTATCTAGGACATCCTACCATTTTAAAGTAGCATCCAGTTGTATTTACTTTTATAATTAAGATTGTTTTTGACATAGGAAAAATCCCAACACACAGTGCAACCATGAAAGAATTTTGTGTTTACTTTCACATTAAATTTTAATCTATGAATGATAATAATTGTAATTATTAATGAATCAAATAAGGTAAAGACAAACTTAAAACTTCGATGACCTAGAAGTGCAATTTAGTCAGTTGCTACTGTTAAGCGGTTCCTGTGAACACAGTACTGCCTGGGATGCCTGGGACATGAGGAGGCTGCGGATTCTCATCCCCATGTTCTCCTGAATGAGCAGATGACTCGAGATCGAGGTAAGGGAAGGCAACTGGAGCTAATCCTTAAAAGCAGCAATGATGACTAGAACTGGTTCCGTGCCCAGAAAACCTCCCCTCCATGTGGGTACCGAGCCCTAGGATGCGGGAGCCCAGAACACACCCGAGAAAGAACATTTTCAATACCTTAACATCTTCCAGATACTCAATGTCTGCGGTGCAGTATCCATCTTTCATTCCTCTCTTTAAGACTCGGAACCGCTTTCCTCCAACCGTGTCGACCACAGACCTTCCATCAGGTAAGAAATGCACATTTCGAATTTGTAACATACAACCGTAATCTGCAAAACTAAAAGAAAACCAGTGTTTGAGCAAATGTGTGTGAAGCCTCATCCAGACACAAACAAAGATCCAGTGTAAACAAAGACGTCAAAGGTCACAAAGAGTCTGCCTACCTGTTTTGTGTATCACTGACACACATCCCGAACTGCTTGGTTCCAGTCTGTATACTTCTTCGAATCATGAGCCTGTATCTGGGCTCAAATACGTGGAGAGGGCAAGGCACAGTGGGATAGGCCATAGTGCAAACAAAGATTGGGACATTCTTGGTCAAGCTGAAAGAAAAGAAGTTTCATTGCTATAGGCCAAATCAAATGGCAAAAATATATCAGGCTTACAACAGTAAAAAAATGGATGCAAAACAACAGCAAGATCTATTTTAAGCATGTGTGTGCTCTCCAATCCTGGCTAGAACAGGAGGCAGCTCCCCTTCCTCAAGTTCACACTGCTGCCTCTCTGTTCCTCTTATTCATAAGCCTCAATGCTAAAACAGTGGGGATCATATAGAACTATTTTAAGAATCAAAAGGAAGTTTATCATAACTAACATTGTACATTAAGAACTTGTTTAAAAATACTTCCAGCACAGGACAGAGTTACAGCTCTTATCACAGAACACTGAGAAGAAAATGGGCTCCTAAAATGGACAAAAATTCTTAAGCATGGTGTTTTCAAGCTATCAACAGAGATAACTAGATAAAATAATGCTCTCTCAGGTAACTTAGATGACGTCACCTTTCTTCTCCCAGACTGTGAACAGTGAGAGGGCAAAGGGCAATGCCCAGGTGGCAAGGATGAGAAAGCCTGGCCTTGTGGGGAGCGGAAGAAGAGATGCGTATCCTATCACCTGCACAGCAGAAACCCCACGGGATTTTAAGGTAGGAAATGTTCATTTTTCTTTGGATCAAGAATTGTCCTTTTAGAAACCCTTTAGGTGCAGAAAGGGATATTCACAGCAGCACTGTGGGGAGTGGCTGGAAGCTGGCAGCTGGAGGAGGAGAGTATGGGCAAAGCATGGGGTGGCCAAAGATGGAGGGCCAGGCTGCCCACTAGGAGGCCCAGGGCTGCAGTGTGCCAGCACTGTGGAGAGGAGGGAGGGATAATGCAGCCAGCATGGTCCCGTGTCTGCTGGAGTAAGTGTCTGCTCTGGTAAGGTCATGGAGGGCGCATTCCACAGCTACAGCTTTGCTTTCTTCCACTCCCTTTAGTACTGCTGCCACGTGACCACTAATAGCCTAAGGACACGCGATGCTCAACAGGAAAGCCCAGTTAAAAAACAGCCCTGCTAGCAAGCAGGGAAGTCCCCAGCTTCTGGCCACCACTCTCGGCTTTCCACTTGCTGACTCTCTCCAGATCTGTAGTGTTACCTCCGCTCTCTAATCTAGGCTTCTTGCTGAGTATCAAAAGGAGGCAGAGTTTTCATCTCAATATCTTCTATCATAAAACTACACAATAAAACATCAGCTTCGTGGGAGGACAAATCACTGGCGGGCTGTAAAAGAGAGCCAGGAGCTTTTGTGCTGAGAGCCACTAGCCTGGGAAGCCTTCTGTGGGCACACTTGGGAAAATACAGGGCACACGCATAATTCCTTCTGTTTTAAGACTGAGAAATCCAGCATGTTCTACTTGTTTTTTGAAAACAATAGAAGCAAGCAGTTCCTCAGGAATAACAACACACAAAATTAGCAGTGTTCTTCAGTGTTCAGTCGCGAGAAGTGATGGAAACAGTTAAGAAATTAAAAACCCAGCAAAGAAATTCAAAGATCCAAGATCAAAACAGCAAAAATATTCAGGGAAAGAGAACAAGAAAAAAAAGAGTGCGCAGTATCAGAGCAGGCAAACATACCCAGCTCAAGTCGGTCCATGGCAGTGGGGACAGCTGCGAGCACCCAAGTTGCCTCTGGATGTTTCCTCGTCCTCCTGCCAACCTGCATGCTCTGCCTGCTGCTATCTTTACTGAGGGTTTGATCTCTAAGGCTTCCCATCATGTTTCATTCCCATCCCATTCCAAGTCTCTAGCCCAATGGTTCTCAGCCTGTGGGTCAAATGACCACTTTACAGGGGTCGCCTAAGACCACTGGAAAACATGGGTAGTTACATTATGATTCATAACAGTAGCAAAGTTACAGTTAAGAAATATCAACAAAAGCAATTGTATAATTGGGGGCCACCACCACACAAGAAACTGTATTAAAGGGTCACAGCATTAGAAAGGGTGAGAACCCTGTTAACATGCCTGCTAATGCGGACAAATGTTCCTCCTGCTCTGGGATGAGGGAAACTAGTTCCCATCTGCCTTACCTAGTTCACCTCTACCTACTCTATGACCTCCAACATTGCTTCATTCCAGAGCTGCAGCACTGACTTTCCACAGAACACCTGGACTCTCCTGATTGCACTTCCTCAATCCCATCTACTCAAGGCAGGAACCCTGATCAATAGTTGGTTACGATACACGTCTGTGCAAGACTGGCTGAATCCTGCTCACTCAGGAAGGGCTCTCTTGCTGTTTTCATAATCTCAGCTAATTTAATAAGACACTTACTGTGAGAGCTCGGCCGTTTCTTCATCATAGATTTTCTTCCTCTCTGACAGCTCATCCGGAAGATACTTCACTATTAACTCTTCCAACAGCTGTGTGACGCAGTACCGCCTGTCCGCTAGATACTGAAAGACAGAATTACTTCACACTCCAGCAGATGCTTGTCTACTGTATAAAGCAGGTAAGAGTTTAACGGAGATCAAAGCCTCTGGTATGAACGGACACACTCGACTCTGACTGCATTTAATCAGTGAGGGGAGGCCTGCAGTTCGTGCAGCTACACAAGAAAACTGCCTGGGCCTCTGCTCCAGTGCGGAAGACTGGAGACACAACTGGAACCAAGCTCCTGTGTAGAAACTGCCCTGCTAGGAGTTTTATTGGCAGCAGCCAGCCTGGGCCCTGCCATCTCCCACAATACACGCCAATTTCTAAGAAGTAAAAGGAAGATGTGGATGAAGAAAATAATGCACTTGTCTTATTTCAGAAACTCAAAACAATTCTTGTTTTGTCTGCTTTCAAAGATCAAGTCTCTACATCGCTTTTGTTGTTGGGAGTGCTGCTTGCTTCTATGAGATACGGTCTCACTGTGTAGTACAGGCCGGCCTCGAACGTGAGGTTCTCCTGCCTCAGCTACCCAAGTGCTGGGATTAGAAGCTACTAATCAACTAACCACTACTACTCAACCCTCAGCCACCCGAGCCACCAGTTAAGTAGCTACATGTGGCCGCCGGCCACCTAACTGGATAGGAGAGCTGGACCATTTCTACACGCAGAAGACTCTACAGGTCAGTTGCTCCAGGTGGTAAGGGCTCTGGAACAGGCCCCCAGTCTGGGTGAGATGCAGACCAGCAGAATTTCCCCTAATAATGTCATCATTAAAACCGAACCTTCCCCTGACCAGGCAGCTGAACGGGCTTAGCCTTTAGTCTCTTCCTAACTCTGGATTTCTCTCCTCCTAAACAACATGGTGTCCTAGTCAGGGTTTCCATTGCTGTGACCATAAACCAAGTTGGGGAGGTAAGGATTTATTTGGCTTAAACTTCCACATTGCTGTTCATACTGAAGGAAGTCAGGACAGGAACTCAAACAGGGCAAGATCCTGGAGGCTGATGCAGAAGCCATGAAGAGGAGCTGTTTACTGGCTTGCTCCCTCTGGCTTGCTCAGTCTGCTTTCTTATAGAACCCAGGACCAGCAGTCCAGGGATGGAACCACCCAACATGGGCTGGGGCCTCCCTCACTGATCACTAAATGAGAAAAGGCCTTATAGCTGGATATCATTTCATTTGAGGCATTTCCTCTCTGATGACTCTAGCTTGTGCCAAACGGACACACAAAACCAGTTAGTACAATGGGTAATAAGCAGTGTGTACTTGGTCAGACAGAATGTATAATGCGAGTCACTTTGAAAATCACTTTTTGTGGCTGAACAGAAACCAAACCATGCTGTCAAACTTAAGGCCAATAAACAGATACAAACCTCTTTTAAGCTCTCTTTGCAGAGCGGACAATATGGCGTGTGGTCTAAACAGCGCTCAAGACAATTCTTACAGAATGAATGTCCACAAGGGGTTGTTACTGGCTCAAAAAACAACCTGAAATCGAAAAAAGTACAAGTTAGCTTTCATGCCATACACGTCTGTTAATAATGGACCACAACACACGTCTCTACTTAGAGGAGGAGGGAGGCCAAGCTAGGGGGCAGGGGAGTAGGAAGAGGGCAATGCTAAGTATATTGTGCTCTCCTTAACCTTCTGACAGATCGTCACCAACAGAAGCATGCTCCAGGGGCCTAGAACCGTGCTGACTACTGCAGCGACCACTAGACGGACACCAGTGGCCACCGAACACTTGAGTGCGGCCAATCCAAACTGAGCCTTGAAAGCAAACTCAAAGTAAATGCAGATGTCAAAGACAGTTCAAAAAATAAAGTAAAATAAAGTATGCCATTGATGGTCATCAGATTTTTATACAGACTCATTAAAAATGGTCCTTCATAGTTTGATAAAAGTCTTGCTTAATAAACTAAAAAAGGACATTCTGAGCAAACTGTACAGACATAAGTATGAAGATGCCATGATGAACTCATTTTGCATAGTAACTTCAAATTTAATTTAGGGAAAGAAGGTTTTTTTTAAGATTTATTAAGATTTATTTATTTATTCATTCAATATACAATGTTCTCCCTCCGGCCTATATGCCTGTTTGCCTGAAAAAGGTCCCAGATCTCATTAAAGATGGTTGTGAGTCACCATGTGGGTACTGGGAATTGAACTCAGGACCTCTGGAAGAGCAGTGCGCTTACTTAACCTCTGAGCCATCTCTCCAGCCCTAATCCTAACATTTTAACCTAGCACTCTAGAAGATGAGGTAGAGCAAACATGAGTTCAAAGCCAACACAGGCTACACAGTGAGATCCTGCTTCACAAAAGGAAAACATAATAAATATGACTGAGGAAGGACTAGAATGTAATATCAGATATGACTCTCAGTACAGAAAACTATTTATTCTATAATTATTTCATAAAGATAACCCTCTGGCTTTCCCAGCATACTGCCAGATTTGTATATGCTTTAGAAATCATACGGTGTCATCCTTGGATAAGGAAACTGAGCTTCAGAATGAAAAGACCTGCAGAGGAGCTCACAGATGCTTATGCTCAGCCTAGTATGGCCAGTCCCAGGCCTTGGACAGGCTGTGAACCCGCAAGTCTACCATAATTCATGGAAATGAGAGAAGTCCTTTCAAATGATTCTAATGGTCAGAATCATAAATATTTACATAATGGAAATCTTATTCCATGCTATTTTAAGAGGACTAGATGGTTACTATGAGGACAATACATAAAATACATAATTTGTATTCTTATGCAGTACATTACAATTTCCCACATTCTTTTCCTAGTTGACCAACCAGGCTCACTCTACACTGAGGTACAGGCTGTGCAAACACTGCCTCACTGTCCACACTTGGAAATCTGAGATTCAGAGATCTCTTTCCTCAAAGGTGTAAAAAGCTAAACCTAGGAGTAAGATTCTACCTTCTGATCTTTAACCAATATCACGACTTTATCTTAACAACATTACCTTTAGCTATATGACATTTCTATCAATACAGTCATCTTTAAAAAAATGTGATACACTTACCTCATACAGAGAGAACATTCAAAATCTGAGACATCTATTAATTCTTCTGGGATGTCACCATAAGCTAACGAAAACACACAGTCTTCACGGGGAGATTCTATTGAAGAAACAGACAGGGTTTTACTACTTAGGGAAAAGGTTCAACAGCCATCCTGAATCAGTACCTTACCGGGAGGAGAGCAGAGAGGAAGCCTCACCACCTTGCTTCTTCAGCTTGTTCCTCCCATCTTCATTAATAAGCATGTCCTGCTCTAAGAGAGACAACTTCCTTTTCAGCAGGACACCTCTTCCCTGAGCGGACAGTAAAGGTTCCGAGGACACGCGTTTTAAACCATCTTCTCTGGCAGGCACTGCTGCGGTATTGATGGCTTGTGCTGACCGAGCACGATTTAAACTCCCTGTGACAGGCTCTGGGGCCCCCTCTGGCCGCTCCGTCTACAGAACACATGAACAAAGGTGAGGCAAGGCTCTTCTCCATTTACTCTTCTTGCCCAAAAGAAACATGGAAGCGAGATCTTAACTCATTTAATAAAACTTTTTAGCTCTAATACTGGGCAGGGGAATGACTTCTGTCAGTGATAAAGTATTTACAGCCACCTGCGTCTTCTAAAACACTGTCCGTTCTCTGACAGTTAAGTGACCTAAAATGGTTGGCAAAGAGAAAACATTTTACATACCAAGCTTTAGTATAAGTCAACAGCTGCAGACAGGATCCTGTAACTATAACTAGATAGGCAACACACGCTTAAGCAGGTCTTAGTGCTTGACCATGAGAAAGTGGGGTCTTAGCTGTAAGGAGGCTGGGGTACAGAGCAAACGGTCATCTTTTCCACCCCTTACCTGCTTCAGGCTGAGCTCACCAGGAGAGTGAGGCTCTTCCATTACTGCAGGAAAACCAAAAGGTTTGTTTTTACTACATGGTAGGGAACTCCAGGAAGACTCCTTCAGGCCTTCCTTTAAGTTGTCAGGCGACAACAAGTCACACAAGATCTGTAAGAAATAATATAAAGGTATAACAGAAGACATATATAAAGGTATAACAGAAGACATATACTGTATGTAAGAAATAATATAAAGGTATAACAGAAGACATATATAAAGGTATAACAGAAGACATATACTGTCTGTAAGAAATAATATAAAGGTATAACAGAAGACATATGCTATCTGGTGAAGAATGACAACATAATTACCTATTCAAATTCTGGAAGGTGTTTGCAGCAACAGGCATTATTTTTAGTGATCAGGGAGAAAAATAAACATATTTTAAAGTTTCTCAAACCAAGGTATGTCTCGGCAGGGATCATAGCACTTCAAGAAAAAAATGAGGGGGAGTCAAACCTTTGCAAGAAAGGAAGACATAAAGTGGCCCAGAAGGCACTCAAGGGAAAGGCTGGCTTTTTACATAAGGATGATAAAGGGAAGGGATTTTATGAGAAGCAGAAACTAGTCTATCAGTGAGTGAGACTGAGGTGTCCACACTAGTGTGTTTTCAGGTTGGAGCTTGACTACTGTGGTGTTGTGTGTGAACCAAGGAACCTGGACTCAAGCACAAAACGCTAAAGGTGCCCGTGTTTACATTGAACTTAGCCTGTCACTGACCAGCTACACATATGGTGGCCTGTGCTGCTGGGCACTTGCTAGGGAGCAAAGAGCTGCCCTGCGACAGCTAGGAGTTTAAATGGAGCTGGCTGCACGACAGAATCTTCAGGGTGGTCCAGTGAGCAATATAGGCCAGTCACTCACATAAATAAACAGGTTTATTAAGATGGAGGGAATGCCTGGCTGAAAGAAAAAGGCGTTTTATAAACTCATATTTCTATGTGCAGCAGGGTTGGGTTTCTTGGGTGTACCATCGCTCAAACACACAGAATTTGGTTATCCACAAATCAGTGTAAGGAAATAAACACAGTGTGAATAGAGCAAGTCTGTAGATGCTCAATATCCACTTACTAGAAAGCCACCTAGGGCCTGGAGAAGAAGCTCATTGGTAAAGAGCTCTCACGTGACACACTCAGTGTGAGCCCTAATAAAAAACTAAAACATCAAAAAAAAATCTATACACATACACATTTATAGTTCTTCTAATTAGAAAAAAAGAAAACACTAAACATCTCTACCCTAGAACTCAGCAACTCCTCTCCCAGGTATTTGCAATGAAATGCTTTGAAACAGTAAAACAAACACCGCGACCACCACCACGTACCACAGAAACAAAGCAAATGAAGACCGCTACCAACTGAAAACCACAAGCTGTGGTGTCTTCATGTAATGGGACACGTGGGTCAAAAACAAAAACTTCCCACATAGAGTATGTAAGCAAATGGAAACCCAGAGTACACATCGCATGCCTCACACAAAATTCTAGAATAAGCAGAGTTCTCCGGCGGGGACAGAAATCCCAGTGGCAGTTTCCTTGGGAGCATGAGGTGGGGACTGACTGCTCTGGGATGCTGGGAAAAGCCTAGACGGGGTGGGCGCTGTCACACTGCTGTGGCCGCTCCTAAACTCTCACTGAACTGAACATTACCTACTTTATATGCACAGTACTCCACGGTTTATAGACTATCGTTGTCAACAAGGAGGATGCCCACCAGCATGGAAGGTACAAGGTTCAAGTTCAAGCTCCTTAAGTGTCTGTAGTCTCACCAAGAGCTAATGGTAACAGACATGGGGTCAGAGGACAAGGTTTGTGAAGATGCTGGGCTAGAAGGTATGTGTATACCTCGCTGCTGGATTCTTAAGGTAGGAGAGGATCGAGAAAAAAAATCTCAAAATTCTCCTAGTTCAGGGCACACAAAGCTCTCCACACCGGCCTGTTAAATTTATTTCCCCAGTTCCAGGGGTGCTGATTCTGTGAGATGGGGCTCAGGGCACCTTGTAGTTGACATAGACCCAGGTGATCCTTATGAAAGGCCACACTCTTAACACCACAAAGGATAAGTGACGTGGCATGTTTTGTGAGCACTGAGGTCACATGGCTATAGACTCTAAATCAAAGGATTTTCTCAAAGAATTTTCCAAAGACCCTCTTCTCATATGCTGTGTCAGTTCGACTAGAGCTAATTTTTTTTTTTTGCCTTTTTTTTCCATGATGACATCTAACTAAGTTTGATCCAGTCTTCCTTCTGAAGTCATTTGATCACGGAACTCTTGTCTCTCACTCTCCACTCCTTCCAGTCCTCACTGTCTACTAAAATAACAGCCATGTCAGCCTCTACAGGACAGTCTATGCAGAGATGTGCGGAGCGCTGAGAAAATCAAGGCAGAACAAGCTGACGGGGCAACACGACCACCAACCACGGGAGGAAAAAGGCCTGAGTGAAAGGCACAGGCAGATCCTGAGATTCCTGAGTGGGGGAGAATGGAAACACCTCCCAACAGGGACTACCAGCTTGGTTCTGACTGGACAATTTTGGAGTATTTATGGAGAGATAGCTTGGGGATAGGACACAAGCCTAAACACAAAACTTGTCCATCAGCACCTTGTACGCATTGGCGGTAACTCTGTATCATGTTTTCAGTGCTCTTGTGACTAATCAGTCACATGCGAACTTTTTCACACAAGGCACGGCATTCCATCCCCAAAGTTTCTGGTGTTTGATTTTCAAATTAGGGATGTTGAACCTACATTTGGAAGCATCTGTATTAGTAAGCTAAGCTACTAAACTGAAATATCTGTGAATGGAATTCATTGGTTTCATCAAGAACTCAGTATCTGAAGATAAAAGCATGCTTGTCCCACTGCTCCTCAGATAAAATCCTCCCTGCATCCCTTGTCTCCCTGTTTTATAAGGAGCTTTGTGGGTGTCAGCCTGGCTTAGACGACAGACGATTGGCAAACACACTGCATTACCTTTTCTACCTGTAGCTTTGCGGGTGCGAAGTCTTCATCAAGGGCTAAGCACTGGAGGAAGAGCTGTAAAGCATCGCCCAGGAACCCCGCGTCCTGCAGAACCTTCCCCTTCCTGAAGTAGACCTTTAACAAAGCACACACACACACCAAACTTTATGCACGGAACTCTTGGCCAAAACCACTCAGGAAACAAACAAAGGATTCTCAGACATTTGGATTCTGCAACCGAGAAGGACAATGCATGGGAAAGCCTCTGTGCTACTCCGAAGAAATGCTAGTGGGGAAACTGAGGCCTCAAAGTGAATAAACCAATGTTCATAGCAGTCAGTGTCTCTCAAGACCAGAGATAATCCCCACTTGAGAGATTACTGATGTAAAGACTTATTCATCTTTTATTTGTGCATGCGTGTGTGTGTGTGTACACAGGTGCTCGAGGAGGCCAGAAGAGGGCATCTGAATCCCCAAAAACTAGAGTTAACAGGTGGTGTGAACTGCCTCCCATGGGTGCTGGAAACTACGGAATGTATCTTTCTCTTTAAGTCTGTCTTAAGAAAGTACTTATAGACACAGACTCATCAGAATCTTACTTTTCTCCATTATATGAATTCGAGTCCTATTACAATAGGTGAATCCTAGGAACCACATGAATTCTGCAAAGATTCAGTGTGCGGGTTCTTCCACAGCAGGCAGCTTGGAAACATCTTACATGGTCAGAGGGAAGTGATCTTATGAGCCGCAGGATCATGAGAACTAAACAGCGTTTTAGAGGAGCTAAATACTGTCCACATCCATTCTTAGCTATCATTTCAATTGGTGAAGAGAATCACACTTCTTTTCAAAAAATAATTTTGGGTTATTTTATGCATATGGAATTCGGCTTACAGTATGGGTGTGTAGCAGACGCATGTCTGGTGCCTATGGAAGCCAGAACTGAAGTTACAGAAAATTCTGGGCTGCCACATGGATGTTGGGAATTAAATCCAGGTCCTCTGGAAGAGCTGCCAGTGCTCTTAATCACTGAGCCATCTCTCCAGTATGAAAACTATACTTCTTATTACACTGTTTTCAATGAAAATGCCAGAGAGATTGTCCTTTTTAAGTCTTACCGCTATTTGTCTTGTGCCAATGACCAGGAGAGCAACTCAGGAGAATGGTAAATGGATCACATCTTATACACCTCCCTCGGTTCTTCTAAAATCCTCCCAGGCACAGCCAACTTGTATAAATTCACTGTCCAGTCACCCCACTGCAACCCTATCATCTCACAGAATCTCCCAGCTTCAAGTACCATGCTCTTTTCATCACAAACTCGGGGAGTCAAGCTTGAATCCATCTTACAATACAGCAAGTTGAAATTTTTATTTAAAAATATGCATAATATTTTTCTGTGTCATAAATTGCTTGCAATTACTTGAGAAAGGTTTTAGACTTTTTGTTTTTTTTTTAAGAATTATTTTTTTTCCTGATAAGAAAATTGGCTTAACATACTTAACTAAATTTCTAGGAGGATATATATTTCTTTTCAAAAATGATTTTCTTTTGTGTATATGTGGTCTTGTGTAGGCAGGTATGCACAGAGGCCAAAGGTCAACCAATGGCACCCTTCAGGTGCCACCTTGTGAGCCCCAGGGCTCTGCCTGTCTCTGCCTCCCTGGCACTTGGATTATTAACCTGTGCCAAGACACCTGGTTTTACATACGGGTTCTGAGGCTTCTTGAACTCAGGCCTTTAAGCTTGTTTGGCAAACACATCACTGACTTAGCTCCAAACTATGTATTCCATCTGAGGCCAACCACACGTTGTGTTAAGACTCGTCACTCTAACTGAAGTCCCTCAGAGCTGCACTTTGAAACCCATACAGATGTGAAGTCACTTTACCTCGGGCCAGTTGGGAAGCTGAAAGAGAACCGCGTTTAGATCCTCAATGGCCGCTTTGAACTCCTGGAGGCCAGCATAGGACTCTGCTCTGTAGATCTTGAGAGTCAGGTCGCTAGGCTCTGAAAGAAACAGTTCACAAGGATCTGGTTATTTTAGAAAGATTACTATGCTAATCCTCAAAATATTATTCTAAGAATGGCCAAGATCAAAAACACTGATGACAACTTATGCTGGAGAGGTTGTGGGGTAAAGGGAACACTCCTGCATTGCTGGTGGGAATGCAAGCTGGTATAGCCCCTTTGGATATCAGTGTGGCGTGGCGATTTCTCAGAAAATTAGGAAACAACCTTCCTCAAGGCCCAGGAATACCACTTTTGGGTATATATACAAAGGATGCTCAATCATGCCACAAGGACATGTGCTCAACTATGTTCATAGCAGCTTTGTTTGTCATAGCCAGAACCTGGAAACAACCTAAATGCCCCTCAACTGAAGAATGGATAAGGAAAATGTGGTACATTTACACAATGAGGTACTACACAGCAGAAAAAACAAAAACAAAAACGATATTTTGAATTTCGCAGGCAAATAGATGGAGCTAGAAAACATCATTTTGAGTGAGGTAACTCAGACCCAGAAAGACAATTATCACATGTACTCAGAAAGACAATTATCATATGTACTCACTCATAAGTGGCTTTTAAACATAAAGCAAAGAAAAACAGCCTACAAGTCACAATCCCAGAGACCCTAGACAACAATGAGGACCGTAAGAAAGACATACATAGACATAATCTACATAAGAAGTAGAAAAAGACAAGATCTCCTGAGTAAATTGGAAGCATGGGGACCGTAGGAGAGGGTTGAAGGGGAAGGGAGCAGAGAAATATGTAGAGCTCAATAAAAAGAAAAAAAAGTGATGATTTGTGATTCCTAAGCCAATAACTACCAAATTAAAGTTTATAAACCAAGTATAGCATTCCTGCAACACAATTCTTATGTCAAAAATTGAACAGAGAAGTCTTATCATAAGATTATTTTAGTGGTGAGAATTATAATTAGGAATACTGAAAATGTTTTTGTGAACAAAAATTACTTGTATGAAGACTACTTTTAGCTGGCACATCTTTAATCCCAGCACTTGGGAGGCAGAGGCAAGTGGATATCTGTGAGTTCAAGGCCAGCCAGTTTTACAAAGTGTATCCAAGATAGCCAGGGATTTTACACAAGGAAACCTTGTCTCAAAAAACCAAAAAGAAAAGAAAGAAACCTACTTTTTCCCCAAAAAAAGTACCCTCTAAAGATTTTCAAGTCATGTTTTGCCAGTTTAGAAAACTTGCCTTTTTTGAGACTTTATAAGTGAAAATAATTATATTCCTCACCCCTGAATTTTTAACTTGTAAATTACTGTTTATAAAAACAAACAAAACCACTTCAGAGGAAAGTTCCACAGGCGTGGGGAAGTGACCAAGGTTTGTCTTATGAGGATGTAAGTGTTCTGACCCTAAAGGGAATGGACTGAAAGAATTACGCTGTGGTCAAATCTTTCATTCCCAGCCACAGAGGACTCTTACCTAAATACACACATCTAGTTTCAAGAGCTCCGGGAAGTCACCTCCGTTTCCTTCACTGTCCTCTATGCGTATGCCTCAGAAACCAAACTTATCCAATCAGCACTTAGCTGTCCTCTTCTAATACTGTAACTAAGTTCTACAGGCAAACTGTCAGCTGAAATCTAAGCAAAAATTTAATAAATTATTGATGAGGTTCAGCTGAGCCTTCTTTTAAAACTATTCATTTTGAGCCTTCAAAACCTTATGTTAATAAAATAAATCATTTGTTGCAAAAAAGGACACAATGTCTCTTAATGCCTCCAAAAATACATTTAATAAAACCCGATAGCCCGTTCCTGGTTTACGCTAGTTTTTAAGCCAATGTTTTCTACAGATAGCCCCCACTTTAACAACTCAATTAGGCACTTTTAAGTTTCTGCAGCAGGCTTGAGAACTGGAATGATATTGTTCCCTCAATTCTACACCAGTGAAACACTTTGAATTAATATTTCATGAGAAATACTTCCTAAATAACAAGAAATGGTAGCTGCGCAAATGCGCTCACAATGGTGGTGACAGCATGCACAAGCCCCATATATCCTCAAGCCAGAGCAAAGCCAGCACGGAGAGAGGAGGTGGCCATCAAGTCCCTCCCCAGCGGAGGATGAGCTTGGCAACTGCTGGCAGACAAGAGCCCATTTTCTTTAAGACTGCTGCCAAGGGTAGGTCAACCATGTTCCAGTGTAAGGTCACACACATCCATGACTCCATGCACCATATGACGGCATTTGGTGGGTGGAAGAATTAAAAAAGGACACAAAAGAGGGAGAAGGGGATCTGGGAGGAGTTGGAAGAAAGGGCGACTATGACCCAAACTTGGGGCATGCAATTCTGAAAGACCTGAGAAAAGTACTTTGAAAAGGACATGACAAAAAAATCCATGTTTCTTCTTAGAGCAATAACTTAAAACAGATCTCTGAACAAAACTGTGCAGAAATTTAAAAAGCCCAGTGATGAATCAACCAAGAACTAGAGAGGTCCTAGCACACAGTTTGAATCTGTGAGTGCTCAAGCTCCATCCGTTACACTCTCCACCTGCCTCTGGGCACCTTACAACCTAAAGAGGAAGCTCACCAGCAGCACTGACTGGGTAACAGACTGTGTGGCCATCACCGCCAGAGAGCGAGTAGCAAAATCTCAGCATCCAGGAAGTGGGAAATTCATCACAGCTCAGGGGCTTCCTGCTATCTCAGCGGGCACAGACCCATCTAGAGGGGTTCACAGTGGACGCACAGCCTACTCTGTCTTTGGACCCCTTGGTGGGCTTCTTCTACTTCCACATGTTTACAGCAAGTTATCACACGCTTGGCACATGGTACACACTCAGATCTTCCCATCCACCTGCTAGGACTGGAATGTGAAGCGGCTTCCTCCTGCTCCCGTGAGCACTTGGTCTCCAGCTACTGGCAGTTTGGGGAAGTTGGCGAGGTTTTTGCACATGGGGTCCAGATGGTAGATACTACTGGAACACGGTGGTGGGGCTAGAGGGGTATAAGCTAGCCTCTTTCCAGCCAGACATGGTTCTGGTTGGAGTCATGTATAGTGCAGTTAGCCCTAGTTTGCCACCACCATGAAGCCACCCAGTGCCAGGCCCTCCTAGTCACGATGCATAAATACCATTATAAAACAAGAGCAGAAGCTGTCCTCATTCTGACAAGAGTGGAAAAGGGGCCAAATCTTCTCTACAAACACTCAGTTGCTTAAGCCCCCAAACCCAGCCCTAAGAACTGGGTGTACTTCGAGTAAGAGGAGGTATACTCTAAGAGAGGAGTGCAGAATTTAAAACACTGCCCAGCTCCTTGTAGGTCAAATGTTAATGGAATAATTACTCTAAATGACTCGAGCAGCGTGGCCAGTGAGTTTACACTTCCATCACTTCTGAAGAGAGTGGGCCCACCCCACTTGCTCACGTCCCATATTCAATTCTACAAGGAAGCCAAGCACACCACTCCAGGCCCTTTGTATACTCAAACACACAGAATGTTCACTCTCCAGATAAACTTTCAAGAAAGCCAACCAAAAATAGCAATCTTCACCATCAACCCAAGTCTGAAAGTCAACCATGATGAAGCACCTGCTCTCTAACTTGAACACACACCAGAGTAAACAAAGGGCTTTATCACCTGTGACATCACGAAGGCACCATAGTCCCCTACTGCAGAGCCCACAGCACCGAGCACATGCCTGGCATGTTATGTATACACTCTGTTTAGTGAGGCATTGGGATGATATAGTTCAGGCTAACCACACTGAGGACAACTGCTGTGGCTCTTACAGCCTGGCATGGGCACACCTGTCACCTCAACATTTGGGAGTCTGGAAGACCCTGAATTAGAGGCTAGCCTTTTCTACCTGCTAAATTCTAGGGCTACATAGTGAGACCTGGCCAAAAATAAATAAATAAAAAGGTGTGGTGGTCTTGAACTCTGACATAACCTAGCTGCTTCCTGCCACCAGGACCAGGCACAGAGCTAGTCTTTGCCATTATCGACCTCTAGGGTCTGTGCCCCCAGTCTTAAATTCCCAGCCTAACTTCACAATCGTACTTCCGTCCACCTGCTATAGCTATCCTCAAATCAGCTTGCTCGCCATCAAGAAGTACTCTCACTGTTCTCTTAGTGATACAGCTGATGCCGCCTCCCCAAATCAAAGCTATCCTCAGCGTTGCCAAGCCTCTCTTCTCCCTTCTGCCCGTAGACCTAAGTTAGGCTTCTAGACTCTCTTCAGGGTTACTACAAACGCCAGCGTTCTCCTGCCACTAGCATCTTCACCATCCACAAGACACAGGTGTTGCTGGGGGCCCTGCCTCTTGCGGCCTTTCTTCTTATCACCCCTCCCCCATTTCAATTTCCAACTAGAGAGGACTGCTCAGTGGATGACATTCTCTGTCCTGACTCCTCATTTTGCTCAGTCTTCCTTCCTTGTCATTCTATCCCTTACGGAGCCCTCTTCTTCGGATGACTTTTCCATCCAACATGACTCAGCTCCAACATCCTCCCAGGATGTTTCCCACTGGAGTCTGCCTTGCTACAGAATATCATTAGGATTGGCCCCTGCTCGCTGTCATCTGGGGCAAATGACAAATATCCTTTACTTCATTACCTATGACTGAGCTTTTAAAACTTAAAAAGAAAATTGTGTGCATCAGAACAGATGTATACATATCACAGCACCCATGTGACGGTCAGAGGACAAGTTCAAACATCAAGTTCTCAGCTTCTTCCTAAAGAGAGGGTTTCTCTTGTTCCCACTGTAGAAATGCTAGGATTACAGACACACGGTGCTGCATCCATTCCTACCTGAGTCTTCTACTAGAGATTCCAACTCAAACCCTCACACTTGCACTGCACATACTGAGACATCGCACCACCACTGAAATAAATGCACTTTTATGAGACTGGACCTGGGGCTCAGGCCTGTAATATCGGCTACTAGGGAAACAGAACCACGATGATCTCAAATTCAAGGCCTGCCTGGGTAACTTGGTGAGGCCTGTCGAAATAAAA